TACTCCATCATACCTATTTTGATTATTATACCAATTTAGGGATGACAACGGTGTTGATCGGGGACAGTTTTACATATAACCGTACCCGCTCCGTTGGGTAAGTGCCCCTCCCCGTAACCGCCTCATTACCCAACGAGTAATTTTTACCAAAACCATAACCGTCTCAACGGGTAACGCGTATAACCACGGATAATTGCTTTATTAAATGAGTCATTGTTATTTTAATATAAAAATAATATTTTAAAAGGCGAAAAATGGTGTCACCTAGACAGCTCTAGCATACGTCATTTTAAAGTTTCGTACATCTTTGAGGCGAGAAAGAAGACAATCTTAATTAATTTGAACTTAAAAATACTTAATATGCAAAATAATTGATCACAAAAAAATCTGATAGTAATCAAACAAGACGTACTATTAAGATCTATTATGAACTTCATGCATACACTATATTTAGTATATCTATTATTCATATATATACAATCAAAATTGAAAAATCTCAATCTTTTTTTTGAAAGGAAAAATCTCAATCTTTTAATAATTGTTGTACAAATAATAGAAAGGTAAAGCAAAGTCTCAGCTCTCCTTCTATGCTAAACTCAATACCAAACGTCCGTGAGACAACCACCAACTCTTTGGTCAATACCAAGTCTTCACCCTTCCCTGTTTCTGGCGAAAGACGTACCTGCTTTACATGTCAAACGATGGCTACCTCTTTATGACTCCATTAATGAGTGCACACACTTTTCCACCTCTTAACTGTTACTCGATCGTAAATCACAAAATATCCTTTACTTTTATACCCTACATTCCTCGTACTAATTTCTAATTTAAATTTACTTTATTTTAATTTCTAATTTCACATAATAATTGATTATTCCCTCCGTCCCGGAAAATTGTTCCCGCATTGACTTGGAACGGAGTTTAAGAAAGTGAGAATAAAGTGGAAATGTATGGTTGTGGTTGAGTAAGAAAAAGGTAAATGAATTGTAGCCACAAAAAACTTTCCAAAAGGGGAAAGAGGAACAACTTTTTGGGACGACCCAAAAAGGAAACAGGGAACAATTTTCAGGGACGGAGGGAGTAGTACCCGCAGTAAAGATGATTTTACTTAAACCGTACTTTGCTGGTCTAGTCATCTGGTTTGGTCTGATCTGGTCTGGTAATGTCAGGTCTCTTTGTATTTTTATAAATATTTAAGTCTGATCTGGTCTGATCTTAATTGGTCTGATCTTGTCTGGTCTGGTCTGACCTGAGACGGATTGCAGTCCAAATAAAAACATTATGATTTAGTATTCTCAATATGTAAATTCAAGATATGCACCGGCATATATTTTAGGAGGGTTTAATTTACTTTATCATTGATCAACAATTATAAACAAACCATATAATTTTGAAATGAAACGGGAAGAGTGAAACAATGATAATAAGATTAAGAGTGTCATTGTTTTATTCTCAAAATATGACTCATTCACTCCTATTTGAGGAAATTTTATTCAACCTATTCTCTTAATAAGATTAAGAGTGTGTTTGGATAATAGTGGATGAGCTTCAATCCGCCGTTTACACAAATGAAAACGCTGCATTTTGCAGTGGTTTGGTCCGGTTCCGCCAAAAAACAAATAGGGCCTAAATGAGTTCTATGTGAGGAATAAAATATGCATGGTCTTGTTTTTGCACTTCACAAATCCTTTTGTCTCATATGGACATATGGTATGATTTCTATTAATATATTATAAATTGTTAACTTTTTCAAGTTAAGCTACAAATGGTGTTGAATCTAATTCTCTGTATGTTGTATTCTTTTAAATAAACATCGTGCTAGCTCCCATTCCAGATTCTGATTCTGGATCTCCATTCATAAAACTTAACTTTTTCTAATTAGGCTACTAATAATGGTATTGGATCCGAATCTTTATATTTTTAAATTCTTTTGATTTAATAAGACCAAATGCGTCATATCTGATTACTTGTAGAAAAATGTGTACATATTAAAAAAGTTGTTCATCCGAAGTATCTGTACAAGGACTAGAGCATAGACCAAGTAAAACGGAGTACTATGGTAGTACTCAATATTCCATTCGTCTCATTCAATTTTTTTTCTATTTGACTTGGATCAGATCAAAGTTAAGAAAGTGATAATAAAATCAAAATGTATGATTGTTATTGAATAAAAATGAAGTGAATATTGGTCACAAAACATTCCAAAAGAGGAAATGGAAAACATTAGGGGTGAGCGCGGGACGGTTCAGGATTTGACTTATCCTGGTCCCGACCCGGTATATAATAACGGTCTAGTATGCATGGTTCGGGATAAGTCATTATCCCAATGTTGTCCCATTTAAAACGGGACCGGGACATCCTGAGAAAAACCGGGACGGTTCGGGACGTCCTATAAAATATACATTTATGAAATGTGATATAAAAATAAGCATAACATCAAAATAAAGATGTAACTATTTTTGCAAATTTAGCTTATCTAAAAAGTTAAGTAAAACTTCTAATTAACTATTTTTAATTATTTTTTTATAACTTTTTTTGGTCCCCCCTATTCTTATGTTTCCTCATAGAATAGTAGCGCAAAATATTTTTACACTTTGTAGTACACTTGTAACTTTTCAATATCACATTAAATTAAATATCATATCTATAAGGACTATATATATTTACTAGTTGTTGTTTTGGAAAATATTAAATCTATAACAAGTAACAACACTATAGTTTGGAGTAGTTATTCCATCATTATAAATGTAATAAAAGAAACAAAAGAAACGAGAGGAAGAGAGACATGAAATACGATAAAATGACATTAGGGAGACTAAGGGCTAGAAAGTTTTAATTGGGTTTAGCTTTTACATATCATTAGAAATTTAAAATAACCTACTAGTACTATTTTGAAACAGGACCCCGGGACGGGACATGATATTCTATAGTTATCACGGTCCCGTTCCGGTTAGTATCAGTATTGGACCGGTTCGGGATGAAAAATTGCATCCTAAATCAATCAGGATAGTTTCGGAACGGTATCGGGATTTTTCGGTTTGGGACACCGGGACCGGGATTTTTGCGCATCCCTAGAAAACATCTTTTGGAACGTCTCGAAAAAGTGTCTTGGAAGAATTTTATGAGAAGAAAAGGGTAATACGAAGTACTGTATTTATTAGGACTTGTGAGGAAAGCATTAAAGGGAAAATCGCTATTAACCCCTTAAGGTTATGCCATAATTACTAATGCAACTTTGCATGTTCAAAAATCAATTACTTAACCCCTGAGTTTTTATTATTCTCACTGTTTGCCCCCTTACGTTAATATTTGTTAAATTAAATTCAATATAACTCTTAAATTTAATGAAAGTTGTCTATGAAATTAAATTTCAAAGTAAAATAAAATTTAATATCATAATTATATATAAGTAATTGTTGTTGATCGTGATTTTTTTTACTTATCAACTCGATCATGTAATAAATATTAATGAATGACTGAATGTAGTTAAGAGGGAAGACTCCCGAGTAAGATATAAAATATCATGATTTTTTTTTATTTAAAAAATAAATGCTAGTATCACTTTATCTTGTAAACTAATAAACTTTTTGTGAAGAAAAAAATTATAAAAAATACTAATAGAATTAATAAAAAATCAAAATCTATTACGGAGTATATACTATCTATATTTTAGGTCTTAGATGGATTGACAACTTACAATTATTTCCACCCTATATCGAACATTTTTTTAGGTTCGTTATTAGTACTAGACCAATCTTTTAGGTCATGGATTGATAAAATTCCTTTTTTCTTGGTATTTCTTCTTTGCTACACACGAAAAAATGTCATTGCAATAAATTTAGCCGAATGAATTACAATTTACAAACAAGACTTTTATATTCATGATGAAGAGGTGTCAAGAATTTTGATCACAATATTTCTACAACTTTATTTGATATATCTCATAAAAATTATGCAGCTCGTGAGTCATCAAACTTAACTACTTTTATTAATATTTATTCCACGATCGAGTACCTAAGTAAAACATAACGATCAAGAACAATGATTTATAATCATGATAAATAAAATTGTATTTTACTCTAAAATATAATTGTGTAGACAATTTCATTGATTTTAAGAGTTATATTAAACTTAATTTAACAAATATTAACATGAGGGGGCATATAGTGAGAATGATCAAAACTAAGGGGTAACTAATTGATTTTTGAAAATGCAAGGTTCCATTAATAGTTATGACCTAACCTCAGGGGTTAATAGTAATTTTCCCAAAATTAAAATGTGCGGAAAGAAAAATATTTTAATTTAAAAAACTTTCTCAAGATAATAGTCAAATTATCTTTATATGTTGGGGTGTTTTTGACCTTTGAAACTAACTTTGAGACAAAATTATGATTATTGTTTGTGGCTACAATATTTAGGGGTGGACCGGTTCCGGGCCGGACCCGGTTCGGGCCTTGAACCGGCCAGGCCTCGGTTCAAGGTAGGGGAGGCCAGGAACCAGCCCGGGTAACCCCGGTTCCGGTTCGGTTCTATATAATTTTTTTTTTTGGTTTTCCTAATCAACCCCCTACCCTCCCCCTCAACCCCAAACCACCACAAACCATCTCAAATGGCCCAAAATACCCAATCCAACCCAAAACTTAAAAAAAATTCAAAAAAAAAAATTAAATCCGACCCGAACCGGGCCCAAACCGGCCGGGCCAGTTCACCAAAATGAAGGCCCGAGTCCGGAACTGGTAACCACCGGGCCGGATCGACCCGAACCGCCCATGGTCCGGGCCGCCGGGCCGGGCCGGTTCAAACAGTGACCGGGCCGGGCCAGTTCCAGTTCAGGCCACCCGGCCCGAGTCCAACCCTAACAATGTTACATAAGATAAAAAAAAACTTTTCTTCACCGCCGGAGATCAACCGGCGAACAAGAGTGATCCGGATCATACCGTGTTTGGTTGGAGTGAAAAACTTCAACAAATTAAACATTCAAAATCATGAATAAAAAAGCACAGTAACAAAACTTCAACAAATTAAACATTCGTAATCATGAATCAAAAATCACAGTAATAAAACTTGTGCTCTGAGATAAACAAAGTGGAAGTTCTATTATATATAATTGCTTCACATATGCATCATAGAAACCTACATAGGGAACCAAAGAAGAAAAAATACTTTGGCAGACCACCATTGAAGAGGGCCATCACACTTTTCTTCACAGCCAAAATAGCCCTCCTCATCCCAGCATGTATATTTTACAATATTTTACTGATCTGGGAAAAGTTTCCAGCATATAAAAAATACTACTGTAAAAAAAAGAAACTTCCTCATTAGTCTAGTAGCTTCTTCCTTCCTGCAAGGGAATTAATTACTTTCCTATACTCATGCGTAAGCAGCAGCTACTGTGCCTAAATTGTAGCCCTGGGGAGAGGATTTGGTAGGAGAAGAAGATTTTTTCTGGTCCTTGTTCCTTAAGGCCTTCATGGATGCTGAAAGGTTCAAACTTTTCTCCTTTGCTTCATCCATATCTATCTGTTCTTGTCTACACTCTTCACTGCAGAATGGTATGTCCCCTCTGCAAAAACCACAGATTCTTGATTTTATCAATTCTTTCACACTAAAAATCAAATCTTTTTTAGAATTCTCAATATTAAAAGGGTAAAAACTGAAAATTTTCAATTTCAATCTATAAATGAGGGTGCAATTAAAATGAAAATTTTGTTTCAATTATGTTGACATTAGCAAAGAATTAATAAAAACCCACAATAAACACCATCCAGACTGAAATCATGTGTAAAAGATTCCCTAATTTATTCTTTTTGGACAAAAGTGTGAATTTAAATTTTAGAACCTCGCCCTCAAAAACGATCAACTGGTCATAGATCGGTAAACTTGTAGTAAAACTATGTTTAATGAGTTTTTGTTTGATGCGTTTTTGTTTAAATAGAAATCCTGATAACAATCATATAAATCTTTTGTTTTGTTTTCCTCTATTGTCTGTCGAAAATAAAGTTTCAATTTCATTTCCAAAAAGATTCTTAATACGCCTACGAAATCAAAATGATATGATTCTTTCAAAATCCTAGAAGCACAAAATCAGGGCAAATCAACAAGATGTAAAAATCCAGTCTTTCCTAAAACTTTTATGTAAAGATCTCAAATTTAGCATTCAAATAGAAAAGGGGAAATGTCCCAACAAAATATTAGCAGAAAATTTTGGAATTCTAACAACAGTTGATGAATCAGTCAATCAACAAACCTGTACATGAAGATATCTCTGTTCCCGAGGGGCTTTCTGCAGAGAAAACAAGAGTCCAGGAAATGTGGCTGATGAACCCCTTCAAATCTGGCCTCAGTCATGAAGAATCTCCCACCAGTTCCAGCACCACCACCATATCTAGGTGAAGGGACAAAGTAAGATGAGAGGTTTCTGAAACTGCTCCTTCTCTGCAAATAGAGAGGCCTAGAGATCAGACTACCATTACTGATCTTAACATTCATATGACTAGTCTGAGTTTCAGAGCACCCAGACTCTAGATCTGGGACTATGGAGGCCAGCCCATCATCTTCCTCCATGAAACAATGCTTTCTCCTGGCTGCTTGTTGAGTGGGAGACTCCATCTGCAGATTCTGATGATGGGTATGGAAGTTTTGGGAGAGTTTGAAGAGAAGAAATGGAAGATGGGGGTAAGGGGGGCAATATATAAAGAAATGGGGCTTTGAAGAGAGGTGGAAACCGCGGCGGTGTTTCCTGTAAAACGAATCTATTGGCTGAGAGTATATTTGCTACATTTGTCTTTCCTTTATTGGAGCGCGACATTTCTCGTATTTTGTAAATCCCTTTTTACCCTTGCGGTTGTCCGTATTTACATTAGTTTTACCCTTCACGTTATGCCAAAACCTCCCAAAGTCCCAAGATATTTTATAATTGCAAATTTGCAATATCACACCACACATTAACCCAAAAATTACCTCCCTATCACCAATTTTGAAACATCGAAGTTCCCATCCATATACATGTAATTGTTGAATAGATATGTTTTGAAATTTCAAAATAAAATTGTTGAAGTGTTTTTTTCCCTAATACTACGTAATAGTTTTATTTTAGAATCTCGATACATGTTTATTGCTATTTTGGGAATTTTCCCAAGGAAAAATAGAAGAAAAAATTGTTGTTGCTAAGATTAAATCATACAAAGTTTACAGAACTAGGACTTAGTTAAGTTTTTTCCATTAGTAAGCTTTATTTACTCCTATCTTAGGAAACTTAATTTTTAGTTTCCGTTTTTACCCACGACTTTAGGCTGTGTTTTAAAGACGAACTTCTTCTTCTTCTTCTTCTTCTTTCGTTCTTTGTCTGTGTAATTATCGAAGCTCAACTTCTTTGCCTTTTTAATCATCCCTTCACACTTCTCCAGTTTCGATCGTGCTCGTATGGTTCACGAATTGTTCTGAAGTGTCATTTAGTCGTTCATTGAGCTTCATATGATGTGTGAATTTTTCTGCACTTTTTGGTAAGTTTATTACTCATTTTTTCTACAAATTTGTTATTGTTTGATGTTTTAATTTATAAATGAATTTTGCTTATACATATTCTGTATCAATTTTGTCATCTTCAAGTTTGATTTCTCATTGTGACCTTGAAATTACAATTCAAAGCATTTGTCTTCTCTATTTTTAGTTTCTAACATCTGTTCTGTTATTTCTACTTCAAATAGTTCTTTGATCATCTTATGGTGAACCATATACAGTTGGTTGTAGTCCAAGAACTTGCTGAAATGGAGGGTTCAACTGATGCAGATAAAGTGTTCAACAAAATCCTGAACCATAAACCAGTGCAGTCTCCAGAAAAACCTGGGCCAGTCTGTTTCACAACAACAAAGATACTACTCAGGGTATGCAACTCAAGTATTTCCCACCCTTTGGGGATGATGTTTTCTCCTTGAAGAAGAAGATATAATGCCGTTCAATTCTTCGTGTGTTGTTCCCGATTTTGATGTTTTTCAATTACAATCTATATATGATAAGATGTATGCAATTCCAAATCATTTTCAATATAAGATAAATACTTCAAACCTAAAGTATTGCATGTTGTTTGTGTTGATGATGGTTGCTTCTGGATTGTTCTTGTAGTGATACTTTTCTGGAAGTCATATGTTCCATATTAGAAGGTACATGATTTTCTTTTAGAAGTCACATGTTATGATCTTAACTTCATATACTTTCTTTATTGGATTTAGTGTCTCTCTGTAATTCTTTAAGGACTATTTAATGTCTACACTTGTCCAATATTTTGTGTTCTTGTTTTCATGTTTTATTTTGATCATTCATGTTCCATTGATTCTAGACAAGGTCTTCATTGTCAAGCCACATATGAAATTATTGCATAACTTATAAAGCATTACTATGCCAATTCATCGAGAAAACCTTATGCTCTTAATCATATAGTGGTAGACATGAATAGAGATTATGGTGTGATGTTTCCTTACAAAAAGCTTGGAATGTAAATCTAAAGGCTAAAAAATGGGTTCAGATGAGGAGTCTTACCACCTTATGTCATCTCTTTCCTATGTTTTGGGTCAAAAGAATCCAGATTCAATGATCTCATTGATTATTGGTGATGATGCACGTTTTAACTGCTTTTTTATGTCGTTCAATCCATGGATTGAGGACTAGAAACATTATTTTCCAGTTATTATTATTGATTGTTCATCCATGAAGCCTGCTACTAAGATGATAAGATGTCTTGAAGCTTTGTTACTAATATGAAGCTTTGTTACTAATTTTGAGGTTGTTTATAAGATGTCTTGAAGCTTTGTTACTAGGGCTGGGTCCGAAAAACTGAAAACTGAAAACCGAATCAAATTAAATCGAACCGCAGCCAAATAAAACCGAACCGCTAAGAAACCGAAACCGAATGTAAAAACCGAACCGAACCGAAGTTGTTTGGTTCGGTTCTAGTTTTGACCCTTCAAAACTGAACCGAACCGAACCGAACAAACCGAACTATTTAAAGTATGAAATTTATATGTTAATTGTTAAGCATTAATTCTAATTAATCTTAATCTCATCAATAGTTTTTGGTTTTCTTGTGTTAGAGAAATAATGTTTGTGTTATGTTTAATTTAATTTAGTTTATAAATTCATTTACACATTCATTGTCTGTAATAATATAGCTACATTGAATGATGATAATATGTGTTTACTAGTTATTAGTAGTAATTAACTTTTATTTTTAGATAACTTAAAGATTTTATATTGATAAAACAATAAATATTCATCTCAACTATATCAAACCGAACCAATCAAACTGTGGTTCCAAGTTTTGGACTGTAAAACCGAACCGAATCCGAACCGAGCTTTTTACTTTGATTCAATATTTGATTTTAGATAAAAACCGAACTGCAAGAACCGAACCCACCCCTATTTGTTACTAATTGAAGGAAATGACATGTTCCGGTGCAAAAAATGGCCACACCAAGAAATCTTATTTGGACAAAATGAAGAGCATACCCTCATCTGGTGAATTTGCATCTCATTGGCGTTGTTCTTGGTGCAAGAAAGGTGGCCACAATAAGAAATCTTACTAGTAGACCCAAAAATTGTATGAGGTAGGTGTTGAAAATTGGGCACGATGTTATTGTACTCCCACTAGGTTCCACCAACATGCCTCACACGCCTGCTGATTGAAGATAGAAGGCTTCATCAGAAAGCATGTTAGGAATGCAATCCTCCACCAAAGAATCCACCACATCCATGTAAAAACACTTTCCACTATGTTGATAGGGCCTCTTCATTATTTTGGACATGTCAAAGGTGGCAGACACATCCCCAACGCGGAGGAAAAGTTTGCCGTCTCCAACATCAATAAGTGCTCGGGCAGTTGCCAAGAATGGTCTACCCAATATCAATGGTACTTCCCGATCCTGATCCATGTCCAAAATAACAAAGTCCACCGGAAAAATAAATTTGTCCACTTTAACCAACACGTCTTCAACAATCCCTTGGGGATATTTGACTGAATGATCAGCCAGCTGAATGCACATACATGTTGATTTAAGTGGACCGAGTGCAGGCTTTTCATACAAAGCATAAGGCATCAAATTAATCCTTGCACCCAAGTCAGCCAGGGCCATATCAAAAGTAAGATCTCCTATAAAGCAGGGAATAGTAAAACAACCTGGATCCTTAAGCTTCTTCGGCAGACCTGTCCGTATCACAGCTGAGCACTCCCCATTAAGCGTCACAGTTGACGCTTCTTCCAGCTTCCTCTTGTTCGTAAGCAGATCCTTCATAAACTTCGCGTACTTCGGCATTTGTGTTACTGCATCCACGAATGGTAAGTTAATCTGCACTTGTTTCATGAGATGCAGAAACTTACCAAACTGGTCACTGTCGTTCTTCCTTGTCAATCGCGCAGGATAGAGGAGAGGTGGGCTGTAATTCTTGACCGGAACGGGCTGTTTTGGTCCAGCCGCCACCTCTCTTCCCACTTCTTTCTCCTTTTCTTCTTCCCGGGCAGCAGGTACATCATCACTTTCATCGGGCTTCTTTGTCATGACAACGGGTTCTAACTCTTTACCACTCCTCAAGGTGACTGCCTGAACATGTTCTCTTGGGTTATTCTCGGTGTTACTAGGGAGGGATCCCTTAGGCCTCTCAGACATGGCCTTTGTAAGATGCCCCAATTGATTTTCTATGTTCTGCATCCTTGAATTCGCTTGTTGATTATTTACTTCAGCAGTTTGTATGAAACGTTTGAGGGTTTCCTCCAAGCTAGCAAACTTTTGCTCAGTCTCTCTTCTGAAACTCCCTTGCCCCGGCTGAGATGCTTGTTGCTTGGGGCTGATTATAGTTTCTAGACTGCTGCTGCTGATTTCCTTGCCCATAATTCCCTTGTTGCTGCTGTCCGTAGGGCTGATTGTAGTAGCCCTGCCCGCTGATAATACATCGCATCAACTTGATCTACTCCAGGGGCTGCCGAGCGTGCCATCATAGTGCATTCATGCTGCGACTGGAGTCCCCCATACAAAGTACAAGAGGGACTAATGGGACCGGGGGCTACCATATTAACACTGGGCACCAAGAGAGCGAGTTCCATCTTCTTTCCCATATCCTCCACGCTAGTAGTGAGCTTCTGAAACATGCTAGCCAATGTATCCACCCTTGCAAAAAGGGCAGAAGTATCACTGGTCTCATATAAGCCCGGGGCCTTCTGGTGAGGTGTGTCCCGAGAGCTGTACCATGATGCATTATTTGAAACAATCTTCTCTATTAGTTCTTACCCCACCTCAGATGGTAAGTGAGGAAAAGCTCCACCACCCGAAGCATCCAGCATCATCTTTCCTTCATTAGTGAGTCCACCGTAGAAGAAAAATAGAATCTCACAATCGCTCATCTTGCCTTGAGGGAAAGCTCTTCTCAGCACCTTGAACCTCTTCCATGCTTCAGCCAATGTCTCCAACGAACCTTGCTTGAAGTCTTGCAGATGCTTCTTTAACTTTATAGCCTTTGATGTCGGAAAGTATTCTTTTATGAAGGCCTTGTGCAGCTGATCCCAAGTCTGAATATGGTGATGTGGATTGCTATCCAACCACCTCTGCGCGTCATCCCTCAATGAGAAAGGGAACAATAACATCCGTACCTGATCGTCATCTAGCCCAGGAATCTTGAATGTCTCGCACATCCTCAAGAATTTTGTAATGTGTGCCACTGGATCTTCTGTCGGGCTCCCTCCAAACTAATTATTCA